GTCTGGCACAAAACACCTTGCAAACAAGGATAAGCTTTTCACTTTCAGAGGGCAAAAGTTTTCCTTTCCATAGTAAGGAATCATTACAGGATCTTCTTTGCTTTCAGAAGCACGTAAAACTCTGCAAGACAGCAAGTATCTCTTCTGCACATTTGAATTGGGATGTTTCTGTCTGACCTCTGATTTCTAACGAGGTGTTCTTTCCCTCTAAAAAATAACTTGGCAAGACACCGCCTGAGTTCAACTGTAAAGTATTTGTTGAGAGTCACCTACCCTGTAATCGAAAAGTTGCACCTTTGTATGTACCACATTAAAACTATCAATTCACTGAGGTGACCGTTGAGGAATGCAATGTAGAAGATGCAGGTCCAAGCTAGCCAAATAGCTTTTCCCTTTCACTCTTTTCTTCTAGGGAAATAGCTTATGATAATAAGCTGAATATAGAATAAGGTGCACAAATTGCGCAATTTGTGTTTCGTATGTGGTATATATTCTTTTGATGTTTTCCCACAAGCTAAACAAAGTGTGAGCAATTAAATCATATGAAACTCATCTAATTCGAAACTTAGTTAGAAATGAAGGACGAGGAAAAGAGTCGGCAGAGGGTACGGTACCTACATCATCTAACAGAAGCTTTCTCCACTGTCTTGCAAGTTCAGCCCATATTTTGTGTTAACACAAAACAAGTGAAAAGGACCAGATTCCCAGGAGTAGACACATGAACATTTTCACCTGCAGCCCTCTATGTAGATATTCTCATAGTTCCTGCAATGTGTAAATTTACCTGCAATCTTTATCAGAGGGACTAAAATTCTGCTACACAGACGTGTAAAATATAGCAGTCTTTCACTACAAAACACAATCCAAAACTTCCAGGGGAATGAACTAAGTATTTTCAGAATCCATACGTATTACCAGCAAGCCAAAATCTAAGCAAACAAATGGGAATCTGCATGTACCTGAAAGACCTAGCAATGTGGGGTATTTACAAATTTCAGAAATTAGCATTAGGTGCATTGTACAAAGAAATACACAGACAAATGAATAATTTAAAAATATGTTCTTTTTCCTAATGTAAATTTTATGAATTTCATATTCCATCCCCACTATATATCTCATATATTTTATGTTTTTATTATCTTTAATGGGAATGGTCATAAAATAATGTAGTACTAAGTCATGAAACTTTACAATAATAATCACAATATATTACTGAAAATGCATCCTGTATTACAACGTATTTTATGGGTTGTAGGGCTTGTCTCTGATCATTTCACCAGTAACTGCATCTGCTCTGCGGTATCTGCTGTCTCCTATACTACCCTTTCACTGCACTTCATCCTTCCTGCAACCCCCTTCCCTCCCATACAATCCTTTGCTTTGCCATTTTGGATTCACAAATCTTGGTCTTTTAAGCTGGAAACTCTTACGCCTAATAATGACATTGTCCATGTGATTGTACCGAGCCTAGGACAACAGGATCCTGGCCAATGTAAATGATAAATAACAAGCTATCATCGAAGCTGATTTGGATTTCATATTATCATGCATGGTAAAAAGGTAAAGAATTCAGCTGTGATAAAGTCCAATTAACAACATTAGCCCCAGAGTAAAAACCAAAGATTACTACACTTAGCAGCAGATAACACTGATAAGTATTTCTATTTTTCAGAGAGATTCCTAGAGTTCACTGATATTCTTAAAACAGATTATCCTACTAGAGTGCTTCAAGTATCTAACACAAAAAGGAGGCTGGTGGGAGTAGAAAAGAAACAAAATAACACAAAACAAAGAGAGGATGCAAAGTGAACAATACATATATCATATTTTCAAAGTGACTCTGCCCCACACAGCTTGCCAGAAAATGAGAATTCTGTTTCCCTAAGAATACTGACTAACTAAAGAAAGCAAAGCAGCTTTGCTGAAATTTGTGACATATACATGGGATTATGAAAGGAAGAGATCGTTTGGACAATCCCCGTCTATCCTGCTGCTCTGAAGCCAGTCTCCCATATCCACGATAAAGTACTTTGACCTCTGAGTTCCTGATTAACCCTTGTGGGTTTTGATTAGAATTTCTGTTCTGGATTTGGTTCAAAAAGTCCTGATACACTTTTTATCAGACATCAACAGAACTCACTTCTTGAATGTTTTGAAGAAATTAGAAGAGCAAAACTCCTCAAATTTGTCAAATAGTTCTTAGGCAGTGCTACTGAGACAGTAAAATAAGTGGAAAGAAACATGAAAAAAGATGCATGAAGCACTCATTTGGAAAATAAGGGCAAAGCATAAAGTGAGCGCTAGAGCTTTTTTGTTTGTTTTTTGTTTATTTACTTGTTTTTAAATAAGACTACGTAGGATAGAAATATGTTTATGACCTAGTGCTTTCAGATCGACTTAGAGAGTCTGAGCTTGTGTTCCACATACAAGACTTCCTTGCCTTGCAAAGGATTGCGCTTCCTTTGCCTTGTGTTTCTATCTCCCTTTCAGAAAAGGGGGCCTTATACATCCAGATGTTATAGGGCTCAACTAGTTAACATCTAAAGCACAGTTGGCCTCCTAGCTTAAAAAGAATTCTCTATATAAAACTGTTTCAAAAAAATCTCTGTCTCAGGACAGACAAATTAGGACTGAAGAGATACCTCATTCATGTATGTCAGTTTTGAAAGACAGAGACATTCACTAGAAAAAATGGCATTACAATTTCTGATTTGATTCTTTACGGTAGGAAAAAAAGTAAAAGAAAATATTATTTTTGTTATTACCAACATCATACACAGGCGACTTGCTTTTCAGAGCTCGTAATCCAATTCACTTCATGAAGAAAGGGTTTTTCTTTCTTTTTAGCCTTTTTCTTTTTTAAGAATTATAGAAGATAGAGATTAAAAAGATTTAATCTCTGAATCATTCTCCTCCAGGCTACCATTTCCTGATTGGAGATTTATCTATCACAAACCATTGAAACTAACTGGAAAACACAAGTCTCAGCAGAAGGAGTAAGTTCAAAAAAGTTGCAAATAGTGCAAATCCTAGGCTACTTTTTACTTCTCTTTGAGAAATCCAAATACGGACTTTATTGCATAATCAGGATGTGCCTATTTTCATACACCTTTACATTTCAAGCATTGTTTTAATTCAGCAGGCCTAACCAAAAAAAAAAAAAAAAGGGATTACTTACTTAGTAAATTTTACTTTTCAGCACAACCAGTATTTGCTTTTTGCTCCTCCCAAATCCTACTGTGAAAATGGGCTGTTAGGATGTTGTGCCCCAGACTTCAAAAGAGGGCTGAAATTTACCCCAGCTGCTTTTTCCTCAATCCATTCCAGAAAGAATTACTTTTGAATATGGAGCACGGACGTTAATTCAGATCATAAACAATATACAACCTTCATAATTAAGTCAAGAGCAATCTAATTTGTTTCAAAATCAGTGATTTGTCAGGTAAAGGCTGGGCTAGGAACCTAATCCCCTTCAAGCACTGTGCGCCCTATGTCTTAATCCCGATATGCCTTTTTCCCACTGAAGGTTGCTTTGCTGGCTGGTATTTCTGCCGATACCAACTGCCCACAGACTATAATATGCTCTACGATACCAACTGCCCACAGACTATAATATGCTCTAGTGCACGTACTTCCAAAGATAAAAATGTAAATTTAGATGCAGCTAGTGTAGAAAGACTGTTTGCTGGCTCTTCAGGGTTTTCTGTCGGTTCATTAAAGGCTGAGATGTGTGAGAGATTTGCAAAGAGTTGCACTGAGGTGCTACAGAGAGTCATGAAGGCCACAGAAAAAAGTCTAGAAAAACTCACAAGTAAAGTTTTCTAGCTTTTGAAGACTCTCCGTAACTAAATATAAATAATGCATTTATTTACATTCCATGCCAGCTATGGAAAGAGGAGTAGAATGGATTCAAGCAACCTAAAAATTAATTTAACAATGATATAAGAGGATAATAAAAAGCTTTTAGCTTTGCTATAAAGATACAGTGAATGTTAGACAAGAAAAATAATCTAATATCTTTATGAACATTCTTTAGAAAGTTAAAGCTCCTCAAATAAGGACCCAAACTAAAACTAGTGGTTTCTCCCTTGAACCTGCAATCAGATTCAGGCTAACAATATTCGCCTTGCAGCTGAGTGACATCTTGTCATGAAAAGCTTCTCTCGGGCTATGCAGAGGCACGTGTGAGAATTGCACAGACCAGCAGTACCCAATCTAAGTTGGCCTGCAGGCAATAAAGCAAAGTAAGTAGGGTACAATACAAAATCGTATTTTATTTCCTTGTCAGCTTTAGCTTTATTTTTGAATTCTGTCAGTCTAGGAAAGAGGGTCTTACAGGAATCAAGGTGCTTGTGAGCCGCAGCACCAGGATTTTCTAAGATGTTGGTAAAGCCTGTTAATTCATTTGAGAAGGAAGGAGTGATTCATGTACACAGGTTTTGCGTGTGCCTGAGGTGGATCACTACGAATGTCCTTGCTTGGTTTTCCTCTTCTATTCTGTGTCAAGCTTGGATAATAACCCTGGCTGTTACCACCAATCTGGATTCATAGATGTACAATTTCCTAACTCGCTCATGTGGGTAATGTATTCATCCTAAAATGCTGTATTTCAGATTCAATAGTTTCCACAAGTAAAAGTAATGAACCATTTAGCAGTTACACTGCAGTCCATTGCAAAGTATCTCCTGGTGTCTCTCTCTCTCCCTCCCTACCCATCTGTAGTTATAATCGTGTAAGACAGTCTTTGAAACAGTGACAAAACCGAGCGAATGTGCCAGGCATTAAAATCTATTTAAAGTTACCACACTGTTTCTGACATTGACCTCATTAATACTGCGGTATCACATCTCATTCTTACAGTGCCTTTAGATGGTTACATTTCTTCGGTGAGTATAAAACAGAGTCATGAGGAGAAAATAACCCATTGTTCTAGTTGTGATGAGGAATACAATAACCCATCACCATAGCAAAGAGCATACTTTATTTGAAAAATACGAATAGAAGATTTTGTCCCTTTTGTTTATTAAAAGGAAATGTAACAATTTGTAACAGTAACATTTGCATAAGGAGATATTTGTAACCTAATTTAATAGAATATTACATAGTTTACATTACTCTCTCATTTAAAAATATATATTTTTGGAGACTTTGGAAAAATAAAGATGGCCCAATACTTGCAACACTGCTCCTGATGTTCCTTAGAATGAACTGTGCTATGTAGATGTACTGCAAGTCCAAGGTCTTAGCACTTCATAATCCATAAAGTTACCCTAGGCATTACATTTTCACATTCTCCTCCGTATTTAGAACACAGCCTTTATTATCCTTTGTGGGACACTAGGAGTTTGATTAACTCCAGACTAGTGCAATATTTAGATTTTTCTAAAAGATAATTGTACAAAGCCTAAGATCACAGAAATGTTGTAATTCCTTTTAAATGCCAGTGAGAATATTTTCACATAGAAATTTTCTTGTAGCATTTGCAACTTACAACAACTGCATAAATCAGAATTTGAAAACAAGAATGTTTATAATTATTTCCATTTTCCAAGAAGAAATGAAAAAAATAAAGTGCATAACAGAGTGAAATTACGTTCAACATTTACACAATTGTCTATATGTATGTAATACATGGCGACACTGCTAAACAAACTGATTTGTTTTCAATGCATGGATCTCAATCTAATGCTACTTGAAGTCAAGCTCTTAGTTGACTTTTAGGGGTATTAAGTTTCGTGGGTTTTTTTTCAGGCTGACAATGTATTTTCACTTTTCAGCCTTATACAGACCATTTTCTCAGATGACTTGTCAAGATTAAAACATACTGAATGCCCTCACCTTTGCAAGAAAGAGGGCTTGTTTGAGGTAATGTGACTTATTAATTGGGCGTAAATGTATTATTAGTATTATTGTCGCAGAAATAATATTGTAAATTAGAAAGCCCTTAAGCACCCTCTTCTATGTGGCATTTAATTTTATTCAGCATCTTCTGGTCTAAGTAAAACTGGCAGTTTTCAGCGTTTAGTTGGTAAGTGGCAACAAGATTACTACATAGCCTAAGAGAAAAATATGTGAGAGTATGAGTATACAAAAGATCCATGAAAGCTTTAAGCAAAGTCCAAACAATCAGACTTAACCATAAACTAGAAAAGATTTTCCCACAATACTTTCACTGAATGTACACTTTGTTTAAACCAGCAGTGCAACAAAATGATCGTGGCGTCCATGACACACGGTGTTTTTTTCTAGTTTAATCAATGTTAACATAGAAATTCTCAAATATAGTTTAAATTTGTTCCTAGGACAAGAAGGAGCAAAGGAAAATTTTGTGGGATCAGGGAAAGAAATCTGCAAACCTGTTGTTCTGCAATGAAAGGCCTTTTCCTGTGGCCCTGAAGATTTAATATTCTGGTATTTGTCATGCAAACAACACGGCACTGTGATGTGTATTTGAGCAAGAGACAGTAAGCATAGCAAGCATGCAGATATCGATCATGACAGAAAAGCACATCTGGCGATCACTGTGGATAGCACATATCAAACAGGACACACCATAGCATTAGTGCAGCAGAGTCTCGATAACGCTGCGGAATTGAAATGATGCAGAATTCCCAGGGACGTGTGTACAATACTTGTGCTGGGTAGCGACAAAGGCAGAGAGAATGCTTCAAATGATGAAAAGGGGATTCTTATTTCTATGAGATATGACCTCCTTCCCTCATTAACTGAATCAGAACATGAGCCTAAGAAGTGAGTATGTGCTTTGTCACTGCACTTAGCTTCTCTTGGCTTTAAACCTGAATGTTCAGTGATGCAAATAAAAAGAAGATAATGCCTCAAATACTACTTAAAGCATAAAATACAATCAATGATGTTGCCTACTTGGGTGTAGGAGTTGGGGAAGAGACATAAATATAACTAGTATCTGAGTCTCAAAACCTATAATATGAATGCAGTTTCATCATATGAGCTACAAAGTATTATGGCCCATGGTACTACAAATGTTGAAATTGTCAGCATTTTCACCTCATCATTCTATTTATACAGCATAAAAAATGAGATGTTGGCATAAAGCAAGTGTGATCTAAAGCAGAAGGGTATTTCTCCTCACAAAATTCTGTACTTCATAGTTGCTTCATTTGGGACAGAACTTAAACATTAACATACATTCACCATTCTCAGCTTGTGCGAAATTCTCGCTGCATTAACAGATGCTTCTCTGTTACACTTTTTTCTATAATAAGAACATCTCCTTAAAGGCATTTCTAGGAAGATTCCTCTTTTTGGTAATTAAAAAAAGCTGGAACAACACAGATTATTAAGCTACCTTCAAATCAGCAGAAGAACACTTTAGAGTGTGGGGTTTTATTCCCTCTAAATAGCCTTGACGGTATGGATATTGACAGAAAGGGAAACATTAACCTTTGCAAGTGGCAAAGTTCCCAAAGCTCATAATTCTTTTTTTAAAGTTGTAGGTTATTATATGTTCCATAAACGTTTTACACAAATCCATTTGTTTCATTTTAGGAGAAAGAAACACTGGAAAAAATAGTGTGGGGTAAAAGACAATTCTGGAAGTACAGCGCAATGAATACTTTTTAGAGTTTGAAAAGTTTCTTTCAAACCTACCTGCTTACTTCTTTAGTAAGCTGTGTAAACCAAAAGGTATCAACAAAATCACAGAGAGTCCATAAACAAATAAAAATCCTCAAAACAAGATTAATTTCAAATGGGTTGATGAAACGTTCCAGTCATGCCTGGCACCTGCCTCTGGCACCTATCCCCATACAGTACAGAAGGAAAGGGTAAAAAAGTTCTGGTTCACTTGTGTGGCCCACCATAGGACATGTCGGCCCTGCTTGGAGAAAGAGGCAAGAGGTACTCCCTTCTCTACCAAGCTGAAGGAAAGCAACACTCCAAATGCATACGGAGGAATCTAGTGGAGTCTACAGATCTGTTACTTCTCCACACCAGTCTACAGCACAAAAGATTGGTAAACAGGGACTAAGCAGCCTAAGGAGCAAGTTCTGCAATGCTAAGAAAATACTAACAGAAGGGATCAATCGCAACCCCAACAACGGCACGTCTACATTTTAGTTTTTCCTCCCTCAACTGACTTAAAATATGTTCTCGTTCCCATAATGCTTGACACAGGGAGAAAAAAGCTGGCTTTGAGAGAAATTACACTGAGAGAAATTAATTGAGCTAAATTGAATTGAACTAAAAATAAGAAAGCAACATCATCTTAAACTCCTTGTTGTTTCAATCATGTCTATTCCAGTATCTTACCAGCAGCTCTGTTTTGCTTTTAGTCACACATGGAAATAGAGAAACATTATGATTATGAACTCTGGCTCATCAATTGACTGTTGTAGCTTCTGGATTCAAGGCAGCAAAAGACTTCAAAAGCATCATCTATCGACCTAAGCGAAGCATAGTGAAGCAAGCAACTGCATAGTTTAATGGTGCTGCCATTGCTGTTCTTATTGAAAGAGCCTGTGCTTCATCTGCTTTGCTGCATAAAGAACACTTCAGACTCTTTCCATTTAGAGGGATGATATTCCTGTGAAAAGACAAAAAGAAGAAAAACATACATACACTGGACACAACAGTTCCTCCAGCGCTCAGAACAGAGCAGGTCTGGGGGTATGGGCTTGAACCATGTTTTGCTCAGAGAGCTAATTATGTTCTTGCTCCGTTAGCTGGTTAGGGAGGAAAAGATTATGAAGAATATAATGAAATGACGTATTCTGAATGCAACCTGCTAATTCAGTCAGATCAAACTGATGCAAACAGGGGCCTATATCAAAGCACTGTTTATTTGAGAGGACAGTTGCAATATATTCCTTCTCTAAAGGAAGAGACTGGTAGGACTTCTCACACTGGTAGTAAACCTCATTCGCTACTGCATATTGGGATCAAACAAGGCCTAGAGAACAGCCAGAAATGCAATGTCACAACCACCGGCAATAGATTTGCTCTTCCAAGAGTTATCTTCCTAAACAGGTATGACCATAGACTTGCTATAGTAGCTCTGACATGTTAAGTATATTGCAATAAAGATGTCATTGCTTGGCTTTACTTTAGGTATTGTTATGGATATGGTACCACACACTTTATTGAGCAATTAAAAAATATACACAAGGGACAAATAGCTTATTTTTTCTGTATTTTTCAAAATTTGACTTTCTTCCAATTGAAGAACCCAGTTTCAAATATGAAAAGGGCACTTGTTTCTACAGTAACTGTGTACAACTTGCTCAGTTCCAAGTACTGTATTCATTTACTGTTACTGGTGCTGTTCTTGTACCTCCAGTTGTTTAGGAACTTCTCTGTTCTTGGAATTACAACTAAGTTGTTCTTTCTGATTCTATTTCCCCATAGAGTTCAGCTAGCTTCTTAAACTCAGGCCCCCAGTCTCCAAGGTAATTATAATCCTGGTCAGAGTGTGTTGTGACTGAATCCAGAGAGCTGATAGAGCCACCTTCTGATCTATGACCCTCATAGGCATATGTCTGTAGTGAGTCGTATGGGGGAACGCTGGGGTCCAGATCAGCCTCTGCCAGTCTTTGTTTAATGAATTCCTGAACATCTATACTATCAAGGCTTGAAGAGGGCTGATGCTTGGGCACAGGCTTCACCTCAGGACGAATATCCCTCCGATATTTTAGCTCCTCAGCAGCTGATGGATTTCGCAGCGCTGTGATGTCAAATGCTTCAGTGTCCTCTTCTCCACCACCCTCATCATCATATGTGACAACATTTTCCCGGACGTCTTCTTCTGAAATGATCAAGGGCTCCTTCTTGCTACGTCTTAGGGTGATGAAAAGGACCACAATTGCTAAAGAGAAAACTGCAGATATTAGATTAGGTTTAAAGTTTACATTTGAAGTAAGCAGATACATGTTACAGAAATAACAGATACTAAATAATGAATACAGAGATGTAATCCTTCTATGCTAATGTTGGTATTCTGACATTATTATGCCGATATTGAACTGTAGTGTCCTTAGGTTAGGCGTATCTCTGTAATAAAAGGTCACTAAACTTTTCAAATTTTGAAAGACCCTAGTTATAGCCATACGTGAGTAATGTCTTTATTGGGTAATTTGGTATAGGGAGATAGATTACTGCATGCCCGGAAAGCATCCCTGAAATCTGTTCGGGCTATCTATTTTGAGATAGTATCCTGACAAAGTGCAACAGGCAGAGGCCACACAATTAAGGGGAAAATTAAGAATGCTACAGTGAAACTACAAACTTCCAGTACAGCCTGGTCTTCCCAAGGGTCAATAAAAGCACTTTTTTTTTGTGTATGCTTGCTTTGTAGGAACTGCTGGTGTTTCTTGAGCCAGTAACGAAATCCACTGAAGAACCTCATAAAGGACATAAAGGGGGATAACACACTTTCAGTTAAACGAGAAATAAGTACCTAAGGCTGAGATTTTCCAGAAACATTGCTAATCGCTTTCAGTGGTTCATTAAAATCAATATTCACTGCATATGTGCAAGGTTCATTTTTTCCCTTATGAATGTGCAATATTGTATGATACAAGATAAATTATAAACTAAAGGTATTACTACATATTTTAAAACACCTTGCAAAAAACACTAATTCTAAAGTAACCTATGATACAAGTAGTCTTTAGAAAACATATAGACTTCAGAAAAAAACCTCAAAATCCCCTAGTATGTGTGTCACAGTGCAAATCCATTATTTCTTGCCTCTATTAGAATACAGAAGGGCACATGAACAGTACAGAGATATGCTGCAGCAAGCAGTGCCTCTGCCAAAAAAGAATATAAACTAACGGGTAACATTCAAATTGGCCTGGGCAAAAAAAAAAAAAAAAAAAAAAAGCAAGCGAAAATGCAATTCCAAGGGCATTTATCTAATGCAGTCATCTTATTGTCTCATATGTCCCTTGCCCCTGTGGATTCTGTTGTGCACTGCCATCAGCTCATTCCACCAAGGTAATTAAGAAATGGCTTTTGTACAGTGCTAATGGTGCTTCTTACAGTGTAATATATTAAAAAAGCTATCCTCATCTCTTCTCTACAATTTTTTTCAAACTATTCCAGACATGGAATTTGAGTTAGTGGTTTTTTGCAGTCTTTCTAAATTACAGAAGATCTGCAGTGCTAATTACTTGATAACTTCTGAAAAATTATTTCTGGTGGATTCCAGATATCCATGAATCTACTTTAAGGGCATTTTTTCCTATTATTTTTAGCTAAATCTTTTCTCTTCTAATCATAGCTATGTGTTTCTAATTACCTCCTACTACCAGGCAGCCTCTGGTTCAAAAACATATCATATTAAAAATTTGTGCCCTGTTTCATTCACAGAGCTAGGGGAAGCATAACAGTTCTTAACACTGAAAATGGCTTACCAAGAAGAATGACAACACAGAGCAGGATTGCAATTAGAGCTCCTGTGCTCAGGCCAGCAGAGGAGAGGAAAGCTTCAGCATGGCAAGTCCTCACACGTCCATCTCTTTCACATGCGCAAACCCTAATGGTGAGAGTGCTGCTGCTGCTGAGAGGGGGCGTTCCACCGTCAGAGATCAAAACTGGGAGGTAATAGACATCCTGAGTGGTTCGACTGTATCTCCTTCGTCTCGTCAGGATACTGGCCGTGTTATCTGCAATACCAAAACCAGAATATCATCTTTTTAAAGGAAAAGTGTTAGTGACTGTTTGTTTCCCGTGCAACAGCATCATCAGGCATCTTAAAACCGGACAGTCCTAATCCGGGGAAAAGTACAGTCTAGAATGAAAACTTGGCAGAAAGCATTGTGAAGGAAAATGGGGAAGCAGGAGAGGGTAGCTAGCATTATACAAATAGGATCACTTAAGCTCAGGTACATGGCTTGCAGTCCAAACGATCTTTGATAATCATTCTGGGCCCAGTTAGCAAATGTTTTAATCCTATGTTGGAAGTGCATGGAGACCTGTAAATGGGAATACCTGGAATTCCTCCACAACATAAACTCTTTTCCATTCACAGAATAATGTTAAAATGTCTTTAGTAAAAGTCAGAGCAAGACTTTCATATTTCACTGCTTGTAACAGGTTTTATAACTCAAGTGAGCTTTCAGAGAATATCTGAAAGAACAGATAGTGGCCAAAAACTCATGCTGTGGGAAGGTCAAGATGAAGAAGGCTTGAAGGGAAAGACAGTAGATATTAGAGATTCTAAACTGGTGAAGGTTATAAAAAAGCAGGGTGAGCGGAGAGAAAATGATGTAAAATTTTGTCACCTTTATGTCACCTACAGGTCCATCTGGCATATATTATAGTCAATGAGAATACTAATGCTTTATTCATGCACATTGCCAGAGCATCTAGGGGCATTAATTTAAGACCAAGGCTGTACAAGATAAAAAAATAAGCTACCACTCATGCTCCTTCCACTCCAAGAAGCTTAAGGGGCATAAAGAAAGTGCAGAGGAAGAAATGCTACAATAATATTTACATATATTGTATTGCCATACGCATAACACTTCATTTCAGTTTGTTTCCACCACTTTAAAAGTACTGGCACTTGAACAAGAGTCCTCAGAAAACCCAAACAAAACTACAAATAGGGAGAAATTAGAGACAAGAGGAGTTGCTCAAAGAGGGCAATGGGCACTGGGAAACGGGAAGAGAGCTAGTGGGAGAAAAGAGCTTTCCTCTCCTATTACTTGCACATGCAAAACAGTCATATGGATTCCAAAGTGCAGAGTTGTGGGTTTCAAATTTTTTAACAAATAACGTAGGGGTGATAGATGCAAAAATACTGTATGTCTACTGCGTTCTTCTTCCCATTATATACAGATTAGTAAACTTCCTTTTTACTTACAACTACAGCTACAGCATTAAATGCATTTCTCAATCTAGGAAAAAAAAAAGTCTGTGCAGCAGACTCCATGCTGTGTCTCCACGCTGTACCGTGCAACATTACAGCAAGTGTGGCGTCTCCTCGCCCATAGGCCTGATTACTTCCAATGTGTATACATGTACTTGCAGGGGAAGAGGGGCTAGCTTTTGTCAAGCTGTATGTAAACTGTTTACCAGATGACTTCTATCAAGCTCTGTAGCGGATTTTAAAGCATTTATTTTAACTCATTTCACTCTATATTTTGCTTTTGCCTATCACCTGATAGCGGTACTGAGAAAAGCTGGTACCACAGCCCCATCAGCATCACACTGTAACACAATACATTAACAGGTTTCACATGAGAGATGCATATCAGGTGGGAAGTATTACCCTGGCCCAAGATCACAAAGGAACCAGGTGGCTGAGCAAAGAAATGAGCATCAGGATCCCCTGTACTCACATTTGTTAGGTTTTCTTCTGTTCCCTCCCTACTACTTATCTTCTTGGAAAGCTAAAATATGGTGAGTTGGTTAGGAACTCATTAAGTTTTTTCTTTTCATTTCCAGTGAGTGCAAAATATGATTTTGTTTTGCAATTGGTCCCTGAAGTCCCCTTCTAGCTGTCTTTGTCAAGGTGTATTTTTGAGGACTCAATCCTGAACTTCATGACAGCTCCCTTTAGAGGCATGACACCAGCCACTTATAATGACATTTGTGTTCATTCATTCAATTTACAGAGCCTTACTAAAACCAAGATGACAGGAATAGATAATTCTTCTATCTGAAACGATCTGACAAAGAACAACACTGTCACATTGTGGAAATGATATCTACACAGCGGTTATAAAATACCTTTGTTAGAATACACTCCTTTCCTTGTGAAGTTTCCAGATACTATGCATGTGCACGTGCGTGTGCACACCCCCCCCCGCCACACACCCAAAATACAAGCGTGTTTTCAGTAATCAGCAGAAGAAGCCCAGTACAGATGTGATGAAAAGATATATAGTAAATCCGTGTTTGCATTTGACATAGGTTGTGGAAATGATTCTGCAATCTAAATTATATTGAATGCAAGAAATATTACTTTAATTCTTATAAAAATTCTATTAAGCTTTAGCTCTTCTACATAATGCTAAATCTGGACCTGTGAAACCTTATAAAAATATACTGTGGTGTTCTCAATAATGCTGAGATTTTTCATTATCTTATTTCTAAGAAATAAATGATTTCCACATAATTCTTCAATCAATTTAGGTAGCAAAATTTTTTGTGTTATAATTCTGTCACCTAACTGAAAAAATAAAGCTGGATATCACTGAAATTCAGATTACATTTCCTGTATAAAGAAAATTCATCCCTAAAGCAGCATAAGCAGTGTCCTTAAGTCCATAATTATAGACTGTGCTCAACCATGGCACTTTCTAGGCTCTGCCAGTTTAATTCTAAAATATATGGAAGATTTGTAAGTCTGATTTGACAAGATTTGGATCAGCTTATTCTCTGAGACATTCACAGCCTTCTACTTTTAATTAAGAAGTGCAGTACATGAACAATCTCAGTGGTTTATTTTAAATTACTCATAAGACAAGGAGATAAGCTTATGGAACATAGATCACCAAGGGGTAGATTGCCTGCACGGTTTTAATTTTTCAACACATGTGTCCATTTAATCAGAAGTCGAAACAAGCAGCTGTTTTATCTTTCTGCTGTGTTATGCTGCAAAAAATACTTTGCCCTCCCCCCCGCCCCCCAAAACACTGCCCAATGCCACACTCTCCATTTTTTATGCCAGACTATCAGGTTATAACTTCCCTAATATTGCTGGAGGACATGGGTAACATCTTCAGTGGTTCAGAAAGGCAAACCACCAGAGAATACAAAATGAGTGGCCTGTCTGTCAGCTGCCAAAGCGCTGGCAGATTGAGCTTCAGATACAGCCAAAGAGCACAAATAAACCAACACCTCTATGATTAGTACACAGTTTCAAAGGAATACATTATTTTGCCTAAAAATAAGTTAATGTTCTAAGTACATATACAAGGTGACAACTGCTGCTCCTGCCTTTCTATGTTCAGAAAAAAATCTTCATCATCACCTCTGCCATATGCATGAACAATGCTGCTGACTTTCTAGTTGTTCAGCATCCAACTTACAACTGGCTCCCTTCCTTGCAGTGCAACTCATTACAGCCTATTAACAGACCTCATCTCTATCATTTTCTTTTTATCTCCTACATTTGCAGGATGTTAAACGAGACAAGACTGGAAAGTAAGTATGAAGACTGGACCGCTGCTACATGTCAGCATTCTCCCTGGTATGCCCTTTGGCCAGCTGGAACTCTCTCAGATAATATCCAACCACAGTCTGAGTAAGGACATACACCAGGGACCCTTCCCAAAAGGCATTATGGACAGGACTGCACCAGGTTTGTCTCCTTCCCCTTTAAATGGTGCTTTAACACTATTTCCAACAGCCTGTGGACCTTAAGCATCCCTAAACGCCCTTGTGCCGCACTCCCTGCAGCACATAGCCTCTGTTTCATGCCATAATAACACTGCTCCTCTGGGCTGCACTACTGCTTTTGCATTATTCTGTAAACCTGGAACAGAAAAAAAAACAAAAAAACATAATAATGATAGCTGAGCTCCACTGGGTACCACATGGGGTCCAGAGGAGATAAAAGGCCAAGTGCTATGTAGTGTATATGGAGTCAGTCAGTGTTACTAGGCCTCAGTGCTAAGAGCAGTCCCAGTCCTGTTTTTCTTTGTAGGTTGTTGTTCTTGCTTTTGCTTTTTCCTCAGCACTTCTATTGCCACAAAAAAATCCAAAGTCTAACTATTACCAGTCACCTAGAAATCCCACTGAGGTCATTAGAGAAGTGTAACACTCCCATACGCACTTTTTAGGCTGCACACTTATCAACATGAAGGGAAAGCAATTTCAAAGATGCGGCAGTCCTAAGGAGAATTATATTTCCTATTACAACAAAATGAGAAGATGACAATCACACAAAAAAATTATATAGGAATAATATATTAAAAAACTAAGGATATGTTCAAGGACTCAGCTTGAAATGCAATTTCCTATTGGTAACAAGTGACACCCTATCCCTGAGCTAAGCATTAATACTAACATCTGTCATATCTCTTATTCCAAAAGAAAAAATTCTCAGATCTTATACAGCTGATTCCAAAAGGTGATAGCAACTGCTATTACCGATAGTAACAGTTCTTTATTTCTGCTTAATATGCTCTGTTATTTCTACTGTTATGTTGTCTGCAAGCCCCAAGCACTTCAGCTCAGCTACCTTGTCTATATAAATAAGCAAATCCCATAAAACTCTGTTCACGTGCCTCTTCCTGGGCCTATATCCAAGGAAGATCCGGTATTCAAATCTGAGTAGAAAAGCAAAAACTCCTCCATTCCTCCCCTGATATAAATCTAACACAGAGTGAGTGATCCAGTACCGCTATACAGCTACCGAAGCAGGGATGAAAATGCGTGCTGAAAAGAAAAACATCATAGACGTAATATGCCAATGAAAAACTGAGCAGGAAAAGTTTAAGTCACAGATGACTTTTGTAGCAACCTAGCAGTAGTGAAAGGATTTAAGCACAAAAGATTATCGGCAAAGCTAGAGAGGAAAGAACACTGAGATGTGAGCATTGGTATGTTACAAACATGCCTGTGGATAGATGGGGAAAATATTGTGAAGATAAAAATCAAAACTATAAGAAACATAAAACAAAAACATCAACCTGACAACATAGGCAAGGTG